AAGTTGGTGAAGGATTTAGGTAATTTGGTGATCATGTGATGCTGTTTCCTGTTGTTCTTTTAGCTGACTTATATATATATATATATATAATTTTTTTTTTTTGGGTGAAGAAATCTGGTCTTCGGGATCTGAGAACCAGCAAGACACCTGAAGCATCTATTTCTGCTGCATTATCGAGGGATACAAAGCTTTTCGAGAGAACAGCTCCTTCGACATATTGTGTACGTGATCCTTACAGGAAAGATCCTGGTGATGCTAATGCCATTCTCTCCGCAGCTAGGGAAAAAATTCGAATGTTTAAAAATGAGTATGTGAATGGAGAAGAAACAGAGGATGTTGAGAAAGAGGTTGAAAGGGATGATGAGTTTGAAAGTGATGCGGCTGATGATCCTGAAGTTGATGATTTAGTCTCCGAGCTAAAATTTGCAGAGACTCCTGAGACTCAAAAAATCGATAGAACTGATGGACGGAGTTCTAGTTTTGACTTGACTCAGACACCGGAAGATCTCTGTATGCAGAATTCAACCGCAATGATGCATTCAGTAAATTTCGGGGAGTTAAAAGCAACTGCTGGTGATCAATCGACTGCAAGTGGTGTTGAAGCAGTTAATCTTGATCAAGAAGATACAGTCATTGATGAAAACAATGCTGGTCAAAGATGGGTTCAAGGGCTTATGGAAGGGGAGTACTCTGATCTCACTGTTGAAGAGCGCCTTCATGCGCTTGTTGCCTTAATTGGTATTGCAAATGAGGGGAATTCCGTTCGCCTTATATTAGAGGTTTGTTGATAATGATGTCTTGTATTCTTTTCTTATCAATTTTCCTATTTATGAACTTAGTTTTGAAATCTTTTCAGGAGCGACTGGAAGCTGCATCTGCATTGAAGAAGCAGATTTGGGCAGAGGCACAGCTCGATAAACGTCGTTTCAAGGAGGAGTTCTTACTGAAGGTACAATATCCATCAGTTAGAAGCAACACTGAACAAATTTGCTCAGTTACTTCCATGGAGGCAAGGCAAAGTCCATTGCATGCTGTTGGTCACAATGAAGTGGCAGACATACCTTCACTTCAGCAAGAAGCCATGCATAAATTGCCAGATGAACCCAATAATCCTAGTAATGTTGCTGTAGAAAAGACTTGCCAAATGCAAGAGACATATGGAGGTCAGGATAATTCACAGCCCCAGCATTTTGCTTATGTTGCCGAAAAGTCGCGTTCCCAGCTGAAAGCTTATATTGGCCATAGGGCGGAAGAGACATTCGTTTATCGGTCTCTGCCCCTTGGTCAAGATCGCAGACGTAATCGGTACTGGCAGTTTATCACATCACCCTCTCGAAATGATCCAGGCTCTGGCAGGATTTTTGTGGAGTTACGTGATGGTAGATGGAGGCTAATTGATTCTGAAAAGGTATAATATTCAAGTGCTATTTCAACTTTCTGCATCGCAGTTTTTGTGCAAGAGTTATGCCATTAGTTACCATTATATGTTTTGAGGGGACTAATTTCACCTTACCTCATTTGGATTTATGTGCATTATCAATAATACCCCTTCCTCCCACCCACACTTTTTTTTTTGTGGTAAAACCCAAACCAAACACCTCTGTCCAGGAACCAACTAAACCACCATCCTTAATGGCGGGTGGAGGGTCCTTGCCACATCCTTTTCTCCTTGGTCTTTCAGAAAGTGATTTCTGGATTATGTTTACCCTTTTCTTACCCTGTTAGAGGTTGTATTTTTAAGCTACTATACATGCTATAGAGGCTCATGATCAAGGTTCATATCTATATGTATATTTATTTATGATAAAGTCTCTTTCTTTTACGTGTAGGATTTCAATTGTTTAATGGCTTCTTTGGATATTCGTGGAATTAGAGAATCTCATTTGCATTCAATGCTTCAAAATATTGAAGCAACTTTCAAGGCAACTGTTAGGAAGCATAAGTACACTGAAGTGGAACTTGATGACTCCGTGAAAGAGCATACCTCTGAAACAGTACCTAGCATTGATTATTGTTCAAACACTGGTGGCTCTAAGAGCACAATCTGTTTATCAAACCAGGAAACTTCAGAACCTTCAACTTCCTTTCTTCTTGGGTTTGGAAGGAACAAAATGGAGGACTCTGATGCCTTGAGGAGATATGCTGATCTAGAGAAGTGGATGTGGGAAGAATGTGTTCATCCCCAGTTTCTATGTGCAAGGAAGTATGGAAGGATGAGATGTGAAAATTTGATCAGTACTTGTAATAATTGCCATGACACATACTTCTTGGAAGATAAACACTGCCCTTCTTGTCATAGGACATTCAGTCCGACAAAGAGTTCATACTTTTTGGAGCATGTAGCTCTATGCAAAGAGAAATTGGAGGATCTATTTTGGCCTCTGTGTATCATGGACTCATTACCTCCTCTTCGTGTTAGATTGCTAAGAGCGCAGTTAGCTTCAGTGGAGGTAACATACTCTTCCCTGCATCATTGGATCTAGTCTCTGGCTTCTGTATCGACTTCTGAAAGAACATTTTGCTTGTGACCTCTTCTATATGTGCTTTTGATTTCATGGAAGGTGATATTTGTTTTATAGGCCTGTATCCCTCCTGAGGCTCTTCAGCCTGTTTGGTCAGAATTATATCGAAGATCTTGGGGTACAAAGTTGCATATTGCTTCAGCAGCTGGCGACCTCCTTCAGGTCCTCTTGTTGTCTATAGTTATTCTAGTTTTTACACACGAGATTTCCTGGTTGCTAATCATGCATATCAACTGGAATTATTAGCTTATCAATATTTACTGAGAGATTCTTCATCAAAAATGTTAGAGAAAGACAAAACATTACCGAGTGCTATGTTGCTCGGGATCTCCAAATTGTTGCCACACCTGTGTTGGATTCTCCAAAATGCACTACTTTGGAGTATCTAACACACCCGTTGACATTTTTGAGGAGTCAGAGCAACATAAAACTACTTTAGCATATCACGAACATAAAGAAACACCCTGTCTGACCTTATTGTTGTCTTTTCTTCTGTTAATTGGTTCTTGTTGCACATTTGCTGTAGAAGTTCTCTATATCTGAATAACATTAACCATCTTCTCCTGTGTCTCTTAGATTCTGACATTATTGGAAGGTGCCATCAAGAGGGAATATTTGATATCAAATTATGAAACTACAAATGAGTTGTTGGGTGCTGTTAGCAACTCGAATCTTGATGGGATGGTGGCGGTGTTACCTTGGGTTCCTCACACAACATCTGCTGTTGCACTTAGGCTTATGGAACTTGATTGCTCCCTCTGTTATACACAGCAGCAGAAAGCTGAATCTCTGAAAGATGAAGAATCTGCAGATTTCACTGTAAGCTCTTCTCATACTGTTGTTCTGACCTAATAGATAGCTGTTTCATCAGATTTGAGGAATGTTTGGAAGAGTAATTTTATTTCAAGGATTTCATTTTTCTTGCATCAATCCAATATTTCTTCCGCTTGAACCCCCGATTATGATTTCATGAAACATTCCCCTTGTTGAATCCATGATAATGTTTTAGATTACGCCAGTTTTGTCCCAATTATGGACAATGATTTGCTGGTTTCAACCTCCAAGTTCTTATAAAAAGTGGGTTTTGTGGGTGACTTTGAACATCTGATGTTGTGTTTCAGAAGGACCATTTTGTTTTTGCACTAAATAACAATTTTGGATTCTTAGCCTGCACACGTCACATATATGTTCTGATGGCTCTTTTTCTGCTCTAGTGGTCTTTTTTAAGCTTCTGCTTGGTGACTTCGTATTCACACATTGAATTTTTCCATATATGCCTCAGATGTTTAAAACCAACTATGCTCAAGTGAAGAGAGCTACGAGGGTTATATCTGCTGAAGCTCGTGAATATGAAAAGCTAGAACCAGATTATTCAGTTAAGGTAGGAAGCGGACATGCTAATTCAGGACAAGGGCGTAATCGTGTAAGAGGAGGAGCTCATTGTCGCGTCCATGGAGGCAAATCTCAGAGAAAAGTCAATGCATCCAGATCTGACTCTGCGCAGAGAAGTTCAACAAAGAACAGTGACAGACTAGGCCACCTTCCTGCCTGGAAAGGTCAAGACCGCGGCAAAGGAAGACGTAAAAGAGGTCGTCGCTCAGTTCGTAATAGACAAAAGCCAGTCAAGAATGTGGAAGAAGTTTCGCCCGAAGAAGTGCCCATCACCAGTCAGCAAGATTGGAATGATGTTGAAGATGAAGAAACACCTCAATTTGAGGCGCCTGATAACGACAGTGATTCTGGAACATCAGGAAGTGAAGATTATAAAGGCCAAACAACCGTCAATGATTATGAAGACTTAATGGTTGCTGACTACGGTTCTTTCAGTGGTAGAAATGATCACGCATCAACCAGTGTGAGTTACAACATCAGCCAACGTTATACTGAAACTGCTGAAGATGGTATTGGTGATTACGAGGATGACCATGATGAAGAGGACGAGGAAGATGGATTGGCCAATAAAAACGTCCAAAGATACTTTGATGGCGAGTCCGATGATGAGGGGGACAGATTTATGGATGAAGATCTTGTTGAAACCCCAAATAAAGATTCAGAATCATCATCCGAGTATAGTGATTGACAACAGTTATTGAACCCAAAGGTATTTTCTTCTCATGAGCGCGAAAGGCGTCTTTCAATCAGTGCTCGCGTTGACACAGTTGAAGAGCGCCAATGTTTGTTATGAAAGGATCATTAGTTCTAATTCTAACTGTTTATAGTTAGCATCCAACTTGAAAATAGTACAGTGCTTCTCTTTACACTTAACATATGTATTACTATTACATGGCAAGTAACTTAATGTGGTAATATATCTAGCGTTAAGTAATATATCTAGCGTTCTTAACCCGCGAATGTCATCGATACTCACAGGTTGCAAAGTAAAGGAGGGTTGGTACACTTGAAGAATTCAATTTCATCAAGAAATTCACACATGCAGTTAACTTAAATCCAATCTCTCTATTGCTGAAAACATTCATAACAGACAACATGTGAGATATCACTAATGATTCAACAACCAAAAGGCCTGTGAATTTTCAAGACTTATTCCAAAAAAAGTAAATGTATTGCCTGTTGTTGAATGGATATACTGAACAATACCCATAATAAACAGAAACAAAATTCTACTATGCTACGAAAGAGACTCGCCTACGAGCCTAAACCAACGCCCCATCCCATAGCTCCAAATGGTTTAAAGAAAATATTTACACAGAACAAGACCAGCACCAGAGTTGTGCATAAAGCTCAAGAA